TATTTACGTGTGCTGTGTGCGAGTGTGTAAGCATTATGTAATAAAACGTAAAAGGCAGTTTAAGTTTCCTCACCACCATAGCTTTGAATATATACATTCAACGACGTCATTAAGTGTATATTATCGGTCGTTTAAATGAATTACGTACGTTACTTGAGGCGCGTTTTTTCATTTTTTCATCCCCACGAAAATCTATTCCACATAATAGCAGATACATGCCAACAAAGTGAATTATAGGTAGGTACATAAACGCAGTGATAACATTTTTTTTAATTATTTCTGATTTTTTAAATAGGTTATTTACGCACGACGGTTTTCTATTCTATACTACGGCCTAGTCAAAATAATAATTTTAGACTATTTATAATAATTCTTAGCTGTTTTATTCATTTTTAAGTTTGGTTGGATTAGATTAGTTTAGTTAGGTTGTTATTTAAGTTTTTAAGTTATATTGTGAATTAAATTCTTTAAATATACAATTGCAGAGTATAGTATGCTAATTATTATGTATTATTGTAAGCATTGTATGTAGATGTATGCTTTACAGTCATGTTTTAGTTTAGTATCGATAATTCAATTATTTATTATTACTATCGTTAGTTTTAACTTCTTTGATAACTATGTAATGTTATGGTTTCTTAAATATTTTTAAATGATCAAAAAATTATATAAATTGTGGTAATTAATTTAATGTAATAATTTGTGATGTTTTATTTATTATAAATTGTGTATTTTAAAAATAAAAATAAAAATAATATAAATTTGGTACATTTTAAAATTTATCAAAAATTTGAATCTACTTTAAAATATTAATTAGTTACTTCTATACCACTAAAAAATAATAATTGAATCAAAAAAAATATTAATAATTTTATCATGTAGATAATTTAATAAATGTACAAGGCAGAACAATTTTATAGCCGTTAAGCATCAGTGATATCGATTAATAATTATTTTTTTATCGGTAACTTTGTCTGTACTTTGTTCAGAGACATATTCAAAAATTTGGCGCCTAAGTACTAATGTTTTTCCGCCCTCTTATTTATGTTTTAAAAGAGAGGTTTTTTGTCGACAATTCTTGTCCCCCCCTCCCATGAATATTTTCAATCTTGGAATATTATCTTAAATAAAAAAAAAAAATTAACAAATTTATATTGTTGTTCATCAACATAAATGGGCTATATAAAAATCTGATGCCACCACTAAAAAAATGCTGTCCAGGGCGATCGCCCCCTCTATCCCCCTAAATACGTCACTGACAGTGTTACCTATATTTTTTAGATATTAGAACTATTAAGGAATCGATTAAATCAAATATATACATAGATTTGTAATGTTCGAAAAAAGAGTCAAAAAAGTTAGTCAACAAAATATCTATTGGTCCATATCGTCATAATTTTTTATTTGTTGTAAAATCTATTACATACTTATATTTTTTATTTAAAAATAAATCCGTAGAACAGCAATCAATGGAATATAAACGCTTTACAATTGAGAATTATAATAAATATTATTAATAGTCGTCATAACTCGTGGTCAATTATGAAACTTTTCTGGAAAATTCTTCTCATGAAAATATTATTAAATAATTTTAACCCGGTTTGTAGGGTAAGAATATACTATACTTGTGTCCCGTTACAGCTCTTCCGCATATTAATTCGTGTATTACAGCTGTTACATATAGGTATGTTTTACCATTCATATATGATAAAACGAATTACTTACCTACTACACCATAACACATACACACGATATTTGATATATATTATATCGTACCAGTAGCGTGGGTAAGAAGGATTTCGGGGCTCAAACCCCCTCCTCCATTGCCAAAATCCCAACTAGTAAATAAATAGGTAATAATAAAAATAATTATTATCTAAGTACATAAAAACTCCCCCATAAATAATCTTTACCTACGCCCTTGTTTCATATGTATAAGTATATTCCACACGTTTATAATATTTAGATTATTGTCATCAGACATAATAATATACCCGAGAAACGCGAATATTCATTGGTCTGCGAAATATTAATGGCGTAAGGTGCGCACCACGCACAATTATATTATATTATACTAACCTGCTATACATGAATAAAAAAACCCGTCCGTATAATTATTATGCGTGTAAAGGTATATGTAGGTATATATATTCGTGAAATCAGAATGTATTGAGTCTTGTAAAAAAAAAAAAAATAGACTGATTATTATGTGTTATATTATTCTTATACTCGTATGTATTGGTAAAAATGGTACGGATTTTAATTTGTACACTTGACAGGACGAAGAAACAAAATTCAAATTTTAGTCATTAACGAGAGTGATTTTTTTTATTTTTATTTATAACACAATATTATTTAAATACATGTATACACAATTACGGTAAATGCACGAGGAGTTCGCTGCGGCTATAAATGATCAAAATATGATCGAATTTTCGTATACGCTTATGTTCATAGTAGACACACATAATAATGTTACGTATATAATACTGGTATATAAGCGCATAGCGTTTACCGGCGCCATTATTATAACTATACACAATACGTATACCTATACGACTACATGATACACGTTTAAATGTATGTATTATAATACGTCTAATTACAGTCCAATGTAAGTCCCGTACATGTGCGTACGGTAAACCAAGTATTTTTTATTTTTAAATCACCTTCGAGAAAGAATATTATACCGTGGTATATACTTACACATAATGTTAATGACAAAACGTGCAATCTACTATCGGTTTTCGACCTACCGTTACCGTACATTTCCCCTCACGATCTGCCACTCATTTCTGTTGTTTATATACACACACACACATATATATATATATGTATTATGTGTATAAAGTTGAAACTATTTTTTTGTAATATTGTTCAGACTGTTTGTATTTTTACGATGGCCAAACGTGATAGAAATAACGTGTACCGAGTTCGTTGCCTACAATTATAAGACGAGTAATTGTAATAAGGAATTTTGATTCTATTATACATATTTAGGGTTGGGATATTAATGCTCTAAAAAATATCAAAAAAAAGTCTAAAAAAAAATGCAAAATTGCTTTAAAATTATAAAAATGTAGATAATCTAAAAATGCGTTAAAATTTTTTAGTTTCTATAGTTTTAAAACGATATTATAAAAATCATGTTTAATTATATTTATTTAACTTAGTAATAAAAAAATATAGTAGACCTATTTGTTTAATATTTACATTTTATTAAACTTTTTTTAAATTTGATCGTCGTTGGACACTTGCAAATAGAAAAATGTCTTTCCACTACTTTAATTTTGTTCTATTTTTGATGAAATATATACATGGGCTCGTATTTATTAGTTTATTAATTTAGTAGATTACATACAAAACGTGCAAGTTTTGAGCGAACAAACACCGAAACGCGTGATCAAATACCCCATTAATACTTAAGAACTAATAGATACATTTTAGAAAGTGCTATAAAAACTTGAAAATGGCCATAAAAACAGAAAAATATAATCTATTAATGCATATAAAAACAAATTTGTCATAAAATGCAAAATAAAAACTACATTAAATTAATCAGTATCACTTAAAAAACATTCTCTGCTTACGGACATACGTGTTGAAATATAAGAAAAAAAGATTAAAACCTCAGTCCTATACATAACCGTACGAAAAACATAATATAATATATAACATTTGTTTTTATTATTTATAGGAAGGGACGTGTGTCACATAAACTCCGAGAAAAATGATGATGCAATTTATGCGAAATACTCCTTTAGAGCTACGAAGAATATTATTTTTCGTTTGGAAAAGTAAACCTCCGGTAAAAATTTAAAAACAATTCAGCACGTTTTTTTAGTTCCAGGGTTATTTACGTTCAGGCTGTATGGTTATTTTCGAACAAAAAAAAAATACTATTTAATCTCTCATCACGCATTTTTCCGTGGACCTTTGCAAAAATCGATTTGCTTTCGATGGAACTCAATAGGGACACGATTGACGTCTAACCGACTCGTGATGCCCGTACATCATTTGATCAATACATTTTCGCGGTGCGAACACTTTAGATCTTTCTTATTCCTATAGCTTAAGAACGTATGTCGGAACGGTTGTGCAATCAACGGCGCATAGTGGCGTCGAAGGATCCTATGCGTTTTTACGCGTACGTATTACACTGTCACCAGTGTTCGCGCGTCGATATTCAATTTTCTTCGGAAATGTGTGACATAATTGTCGTTCTTGACTGCGTAACGTTTTAAGCGTTATCATATCAGCGGTGATAATTTTTGACGTATCGATAGGTCATTTCTACCGTCCCACGGCCGAACATTGTTTCGTTTGCACGGTAGGTCGTTTCGCGTGTATTACGCGCACGTGTCGTCGCTTTGAATTGTTACGGGAAAAGGTCGGAAGAGAAAATATAGAGAGAAAGAGAAGTAGAAAAATCTCTCAGGTGTAGTGTAACGCGGACGAAGGCGGCGCGAAAAACTGACGATCTGTCGGCGGTCGGTGTGCGGCGGCGAGCGGGACCGTACTGTGCGCGCAGCGCAGCGAAAAGAAGACGGTCGACGTGCGGGCAGGAGAGAAAGACGTAACGTGTAGCGAAAAAAAAAAATAATAATAATAATAAATATAAAAACGAAACGTGAAGGAGTGGCAGGACGAGGAGCGTATAGGAGTCGGCGACGGGGAGAAGGGGGAAGAACCGCCGCGGCGATGGGGTCCTCGTCACCGGCCCGCCGCCGCCGTCGCCGTGACGACCGCTGTACTGCGCGGCCGTGGCGGCACCGTTTTCCGTGGGGATCCGGAGGGGGCGGGCCGACAAGGGAGGCGTAGTGCAGTCACCGCGGACGTCGCCACCGCCGCGGCCAACCAATGACGGTTGCGCTACCTAACCGCACGGCCTCGCCTCCCACCGTCCCACCATCACCGCCACTCGTCCTCCCGACCGTCGGATAGACGCCGCCGCCACCACCAACGCCACCGCCACGGACGGCGCACACGCACACCGCAGCGCCGAGCGCGGCATCACCGCGGCAGTGTTCGGTTTCCGGCTTTTCACATCGGTCGACTATTGCTGCCGCTGCTGCCGTCGCCGCCGTCGCCGCTACTGTAAGCTGCTATCCGTGTAGTAGCGCGCGAACGATTCGTGTACCGCGATCGTCTTCCGTTTGATTGATTTTTTTTTCTCTCGCGTTCCGTGCCGCCATCGTCGTTCGTTGATAATTCGCGAGATACGCGCTTAAAACGGTACGTGGAATAAAACGCCCTAGTGCGCGGTCGCCGAAAAACATTAATATATATATCCACGTCGCGCGGCCACTGCCCCTTGAACGGTTATACGCGCACGTGCGTCGCAAAACCGTTTCGTACAAATCACGCGCATGATAATCCGTGTCGGCTCGTCATCGTCGTCGCTGCTGCCGCCGTCGCACCCGCAGCACCGGCAGAGGATCGTCGTGGCCGGCGTCCGCGGGCAGTAAGACGACGTCGGGGCGGGCTGCAGCAGCACCACCATCATCACCGCCAGCACGTGCTGACCGGCGTACGGCCGCCGCGCATTGATCGTTCCCGGCACCGGTTGACCACAGCCATCACGACGCCAGTGGGCCAGGACGCCGCCGGGGCGGTGCATCAGCCGCCTTATGCCAGGGGTTGCCGGATCCGCACGACGGCCGTCGGCGGTCCGCAGCACCACGGTGCCCACATGGCCACCTCGTCGCTGGCCACCACGTTCGGGCTGCAGTTCTACCCGGACGAGACGACCACCACCGGCGGAAGCGTCGGCAGCGGTGGCGCGGTCGATCCGCTCGCCGCCAGGCCACCGGTGGCCGGACTGCCCGTACAGTCCTCCAACACCACCGGAAACTCGGCCGTGGCCGGCGGCCAGCAACAACCCATGTACGCGACATCTGCGAATCGCAGCACGTCACCGCTGAACCCGCAAAACCATTTGGCCCACCCGTTCCACATGTCTTTTCCAGTCACCCAGACCCACAACATAGGTGAGTACCATCAACACGTAATAATATCCGTTTCGCTATATTTATCCTTTGACCCCCTCCGTTCGACCGTGACTCATTTCGATCTAATTTTTTTTGCTCGTCGAATCCGCACGCGATACAATTTTTCGTATGTACTTAATACTAATATAAAAGTCGCATTTGAGTATCGCAACGCATTATAGTTATTTTTTTCGTTTGTCTGGTTTACTAGAAACGCGCGACAGAATTTTTTTTTTTCTGTCCCACGGTGTCGTCTTTAGAAGAGACGCTCGTCGTCGTCGTCGTTTTAGTTGTCGCCACCGTCGCCTTCTTCGTCCTCAAAACCGAATCTATATAAAAATATAATAATAATTTTCAAGAAAAAGAGCGAGATAGAGTGAGTGAGAGAATGACCGTCGTCTTCTACAGGCATGATACGTCGAATTGTCAGTCATGCATGTCAAAAGTGAATCTCTTAACAAAAAGTAACGTTTGTACCGATACACCAGCAGCAGCAGCAGTACATAATGTGTGTATTCTCATATACATGTGATCATCGTTTTCTTTATATACTATATACAATATATATATATTTATACATAATAACTAGTTGTACAAAATATATTCTTTTATGTTTATGTATACACGGATCGGTTTGTGTATGTGTTCGTGTAGTTATAATGTTACGTTTTTGTTGTACGTGTGTCCGAAGGACATAATATTATATACCTGGAGACGGTGACAGCGACGGCGACGACCGCACACTATAATATATTGTAATATTCTAAGAAAACGATGTACACACGCGTGTACACGTACGTATATGGTACACGAAAACGTGCGCGTGTGGACGTTGTTGTGCCTACACATCTCGTAAACGGTAGGATCCGCACTGTTGTTGTATGTATACGTATCGATTGGCTAACCCAACCGAAACCTAACCTAACCTGCGTGCCTAAACGGTCGATAATGATACACCGCAAGCTCGCGTACGTTTCGTGTTTAAATCCCGAGACGAAAATTCCCCCCGCAAAAAAATCCTTTTCAAAAAATCAATGTCGTCAAACAAATGTAATGACCAAAATTGCCCACCGCTCGTGTACATCATGATCTATTTCAATACAATATAATAATATATTACGTTTATGATAACTTGACTAACTCTTAATATTCGACGATATAATAATAACTGCAACAGCTGTTCCATCATATTTATTTACTCTATCGTGTAACTACACGGGTATATATTATAATTAAATCCGTAAAAAAAGCTGTACAAATTTGAAAAATTTGTATAATTTTACAAATTTATAATACGAATAGAAAGCTACTAAGCTTACTAAGTGCCTTCTACAGGGCCGGTTCAAGGGGTAGGCGACATAGGACCACGCCTAGGGCGGTATTTTTCCTGGACAATTTTTATGTATAAAAAGAAATATTTGATAAAATATTTACACGTAACGGGCGGCAAAAACTAAATTTTGCCCATGTTTGTTTAAACATTTGAGCCGGGCCTGACCTTCTACATATTACATATGTGAATATCTTTGGGTTGTAGGATTTAAATTTTTATTTATTTTATTAAATGATTTCCTTTCGGTAACCTGTTTAACATTTTCTGTTCTAGTTTATTATTTTTTGTATTGTGTGTAATTTTGATTGCATTATGTTAACTATTGATGCAATTATATAGAATATACCGTGATATAAGTCGTATTTTGATATAAATAATCTCGATATTTCTGAAAAACCTAGCATATAATATTTGAAGATGACGGTACTCGCATAAATATTTCAGTTAGTGGCAAAACGGCATCGTTATCATGTTATTGTATCATTAATTCTCATTTATTGTTCGCGTTATGTTTGATTAGAACGTTTTGTTTGAGTACCTTTGGAGTGCAATTAAAAATCGTTTTCCTTTATTTGTTTGTAAACTCAGATATTTTGGATCAGTGACCATTATTTTTTATTGCTCTATTTCCAGCTATTAAAACACACAGATACATTCATTTATCGGAACCAATTTAGCGGTCGAACTTTTAATTTATGACAATTTTAATAGACTTGGACATAAATCGTTCCGCTTTAGAACAAATCTGAACAGTAAAAAGGGTGTTTAGCAAACGTAGGTACTATTTTTATTTTAGATTTTCCTATTGGGATTTCATAACTCATAAAATAAAACCAGACATGTCGCCCAATTTTGTTACGCGTGGGTATTACAACTGATATATTTTCATCCTTACGTTTACTTAGATATTTAAAATATAAATTCTTAAAATAGCTAAAACAATTAAGTTATTCGACGATATACATTTATACGTGTACTTAAAACCAGCCAAATGGCATCAGATTTGTTGAAAACGTAGGTACTAATCTTTCGTATATCATCAGAAGTTTGACGATAAAAAATTTAATTTTAATACATTATATATATTACTTTTTCCATAAGAGTAGGTAAATGTAAAAATTATATAATTAAATCAAAATCGCTTTTTCGCATACCTTTTCCGAGTTGTCGAATATTTTTTCTCGTCAATTTGTTCCGCAGTACCTACATATTTCATGTAATGTGGTGTTCCATACCATTTTTACATCTTATGCACATTTACCACATCACGCCTACTACTTGTAATAGTATAATATGACGAACGAATACATATTTATGCGTGCGTCTGCGGTAGGTACAAAGAAGATTGGTTGCGAATCTATTGCGCGGTTGAATTTTCGTCACATTTTTACCGATGTCATTCCGTTTCGTGGTAAACATTTGGATGTCGAACACGTGTACGTCTTACGGGCGAAAAAACGTTAAAAAAAAAAAATAGAAAACAAAAAACCTATCGGTAGCGCTACATGGCTAGTCGATTTTGTCGACGCATTCCAAAAGACGCAGCGCGTAACATGACGACGGACAATTTTCTAGGATTTTTTTTTTCTTTTCAGTTTTTTCCTCGTCCTTTTTATCGTACACACGCGCGCGCTCGTACGCACTCGTATATTCGTCGTCCTGTACATTAAGTTTTTCCGATTTTTGTCGTCGGCCGAGACGGGTTAACGATGGCAACTCGTGCGTATCTCTTGTCCACGCCGAAAAAAAAAATGGTCATCGAACGACGGCAACGGACAGTTTGTTTTTTCATTCTCGCGTACTGCGGTGTCGGTACTTATATGCAGACGGAGAATAACAGAGTCTCTGCGGCCGAAGCACGCGCGGCTCGTGGCGTCTTCGTCACGGATGATTGACTTAACTCGACGCGTACATACGGTTGCAATCGATCCGGTGTAGATTGGTGTTTTTTCCGTACTGAATCTCTCTCCGTAGTCTTCGGTGCGCATCCTTATACAATACAAGTATACTTACGGCCTGTACGGTTGCTTAAGGTGTACTTAAGTAGTCGAATAAGTAACACGCATGGGCGACTGCAGGAAATTTATCAAGGCGGGGGGGGGCATAATTAAATCGAACACCAAAAAGTATATTAAAAAAAAATGTATTCTTAGCAAACAATAAAATATATCAGAATCGTACACACTTTAATCGTTATCAAATAAAAACTGAAGTCTTCGCAGTTGTTCAATTGCAAACCTTGTTCGGTTAATTTTTTCCCGGGGGGGGGGGGGACAAATGCACCATCTTGCCCCCTCCCCTCTGGGCGCCCATTGTAACACGTACACATTCAACGATAGCTATTACACTACGTGACTGTACGTGTACATATTATTACGCTTATTGTTATAAAATTGTCTATGCTAGAAACGTAAAGTTTGAGCGACTTATGCGACATCAATGCTACAATGCGTACTCTTCAACGACATTTCTAAGCAGTTTTGGATCAGTTTGGTATTTATTTCTCGGAGTTACTATACTTCTTCATCCGGGGTTTTAGATACCAACATACTGTATTTTATGTTCAGATCTCTGTGTATGGAATATATTTTTTATACTTAAAACTATTTTAGAGTTCCAATGATTAGTTTGTATTAATAATAAAGTGCAATTTTTATAAAAAATATATCAAAACACTAATAACTAATATCTAACGACGACTCCATTTTTAGTTTTATTTTTCGATTCGATATTTTCGTTTTGTATTCATTCCGCGTTACACATTCATACATGCTAAGTTGTTTGAAGATAATCCATACGTAAGGTTATAATCAAATATATTATGTATTTAATTATATAAAAATATTCAATTTAATACGTTCGATAACAGATGCAATTTAGTGACGAATATAATCGGACGTGTTCTATTCGACTCATGTGCCATCGACTTAAATATAAATATTAGCCAAGCCAATGTATACATAATATACGGTTATATTATATGACTCATATATGATTGTATTCATCAGATGAAACGTTATCGATTTTACACCAACCGGACAGTAAACATTTATCTATCGACATAAATTAATACTTCATAACGTACGATTTGAAATACTCGGTGTGATTTCCGGAATGTGTTGAAAAACGAGCTGTATCAAAACAATATTATCACGCGAGTTTCTCCTACGGGTTATACGGTATATGGTTATTAAAACGTGGTTTTATACCGGGGAGGAGGGGTACACACACGTACGCGTTCAAACTCTAAAATCGGTACGTGGGGTTTGTGTGTGTGTGTATGTGTGTGTATACTTACATATTATCGCTAGTGGTGACTATGGACTTTTTACGCGTGTGACGTGCGTGTTCCGTAGCGTATGTGCGCACATTATAATAACGGCTGACATTAATATTTCTTGCACGCGTTTATTTTATAGCCGTCGCGACGCGCGCGCTTCTGCACGATCGTTAAACGCCGAGTTTTATTCGAATTCGCATATTTTTATAACCATATTGTCATTTTTAATCGCTTCCCGATCCGCGTTCGGTTCGGAAAATCGTTGGCACGGCAAACGGGCCCGCGCTATATACTACCGTTGGATAAAGTAGGAACTCGCCGACAATCGTGGCAGTACATTATTATTGTGCTTGTACGTTTTCGAAGATTTTACGGAATACTTCTGTATATTATTACCTACTAGTATAGTTGTGAGGCTATTTTTCTCAACAACGTTGCTGAATGTTACTTGTCCGCAACAGAAGTGTTTGAATCTCTGTACTTTCGCGTATTCTACGGATCAGACGGTACTTTTCGAAAAACAGTGAGCGGTTTACAAACGCAATCTTTTGAATCAAAAACCGAGTTTGACCGAATTAATTTGCTATTGCTCTATACCAGTGGTCTTCAACCTTTTTATGCGTTGGGCCACATATTATTATTTTTAAACCTTGCGGGCCGCAATCGTAGTAAAAACATGTATTTTATATAAAAATTCAGATTTATTCTTACATTTATTAAAATTAGGTGGGTTTAACATTACAAATCATTATTATTATTAAAAAATAAATAGATAAATATTTTTTTTTAATTACAATTTTTTTATTTTATTTTTAATGTGAAAACATTTAAAATGTAATCGCGGGCTGCATGTTATGACAGGGCGGGCCGCAAGCGGCCCGTAGGCCACAGGTTGAAGACCCCTGCTCTATAACATGTATGCAATGTTGAAGAAAAACGACTTTGTGCCTTTTACGCACGTATTCGGCATCATCGGACCGCGATGTTGTGATCCACGGGAATTCAAACAATATATACGGGGAGTAGACAAAATAACATGAACACCGTGGAATATAGTTACATATTGTTGCATGTTGTTTGTATCGTATCTCCGACATCACTGAATCAATTGGCGAATATTTTGGTAGAAGAACGGTACGAAATTACGTTGGAAACGATTCAAGTCCTTTGCGAATCTCTTCCGCGACGGATTGAAACTGTTGGAAAAACAGTAGCCCAACACATTAATAAATAAATTGGGTACACGTCAGGTGTTCATATTGTTTAGTCCACCCCCTGTACATGTGTGTCGTCATCGTTTAGTCTCTTATCCCATATCCGACACCTCTGCGATTTGTAAAACGTGTATACATTTATGTATTTACGGTTTAGACGAAACAGTATAATATATGCTCTGTATACATGTACGCAACACACTCGTATCGACGCGCGCACGTATTTTATACGACTACTGTAGGTCGAAAACGATTTCTCGAAAATATAACATTGAAGCCAAAACTGGAGCATGACAAACGTGTCACGTCGCATACTAATATTATTTTATACTTGCACGGGAAACGATGTTTTATTTTTCAAAAGTATTTATCGAAATAAACACGCGCGCGTCTGTGTAGCAGAACCACCATGCAGTAGGTATACACCGTGTTCATTGCGGGTACACGTGTACACATTGTACCGAATATCTTATACCTGTTTGGTCCGGCGACGTGCTTAGGATAGTCCCAGGGATGGGAGGAGGTGTATCTAATAACTTCTAGTAACGTTTTATACGTTTGCAGTCGTTTTGAACATTTCGATCGAGTTAATAAATAATGACGACCAAGTAATTGACTTGTGTTGTGAAGTGAAGTATGGTATCGAAAAACGTGAAAAGAGCTCGAACGGGTTTTGTTTAGGTAGCGAAGAAATAATCGTACCTGCGTGTATTATTACAACTATGGTGCGCCTGTAAACACTGTTGTGTTTGATAGTAACTATTTATACGTTTGTTTAACGCTTTACTATCGTTTACAGGCAGAGGTGGAGGCCGGTGCAGCAGTCTGATGATGAGTTGCGCGGGTTGCGACAAACCCATTATGGATAAGTTCCTTTTGAATGTGCTGGACAGGGCGTGGCACGCGGAATGCGTGAAATGCGTCGACTGCCACGGCACGCTGTCCGACAAATGCTACAGCAGGGACGGCAAGATACTGTGCAAGCCCGACTTTTACAGGTGAGGGACAATCGTTACGCCGCGTAAATCGTTATGTTTTTTCGCCCTTCGTTAAAAAAAAATTACCGCGTTGGACAACAATTCGCGCGTGGGAGTGCCGATACGATGATAAACGTTTACAATAAATATTATGACGTGTGTGCGCGGGCGGGGTTTACGCGTTATCGTTTTCGTATTGATGAATCGCGGTCGGGTTTTCGCGTGTTTCGCGGGTATTGAATTAATACGCTGCGACACGTATTCAGGGGATTCTTAATACTTACGTATGATTGTAGAAATAAAAAAAATAATAAAAAACCCGTTTTAAATGATATAATCATCGACATGAACACGACAATTTGGTCGGTACGCGATCGCTTTAAGGCTGATTTACACGTTACCAGTTGCTGGCATGGCTACTGGCATACTAGCTGGAAGGTCACAGGCATGTGGCAACTTGAATTGGTAGGTGACTGGCGCCCATCGTTTATACCGACAGCTACTATCAGTGGCGTATTTAGAAACTTATTTTTTTGGGGGGGGGGGGTGTCATACCTTATAGTAAAATAATTTTATAAATTAGTATAAAATGTTCTTTATCAACTTATTGTTAGGTTTTTTTATTAGCTTATTGAAATCAAATAATTGACTTCAATTGATTTAAAATAAGAATCCAATGTTTTAATTTTTTTTTTACTAGTTCAATTTCGGTACTCTTTCAATACCAACTCAACAATTAAATGAAAATAAATTAATGAAATCGAACTAAATTAAACGTATGATCGTATTAATCGTATTTTATATTAATTTATCTTGCGCATAGATGCATATTGCATACTGACAACTGACAAGACGTGACAGTCACAGACAGAGTTGGATAGGTAGTTGTTTTGTTACAGGGAAATATTTTAATGGGGCCATCAAAATGAAAAAAAAAAATTTTGCTTAAAAAAATGTATTATATTTACTCATCCTAATTTAATTTAAATAATTTTACTATAAAAAAAATAATGCATTTCCATGAAAAAATTAATGATATCTAGGGGGCCACCGACATAATATAGGGCGAGGGCCCACATGGAAAATCCCTTTTCCCTATGGGCCTATCCACCCCTGGTCACGGACTAAGATATTGATATTTTTATCGACCGATAATTTTCTTTCCCCACATCAGATTATTTATGTACCATGTGTGTGTGAGTGCCGTGCGGTCGATTTTTATTATTATTACTATCCGATTGCAATTTAATTATTAGCAATATTAATATTTTTTTTATACATATATTCTTTTTTTCATTATACTTTAATACTTTATTGAATAAACAAACTAAAATTATTATATTACTAATATGTTTAAAATTTGACATTTTCAAATATTTTTTTTTGGGTGGGGTGGAAACCCCCCTATAAATACGCCACTAGCTACTAGTATAGGTCGTAACCAGTGGTTTTAGTGTTTTATTAATTCGAGTACCGAGTTGTAGTGTACAAGTTATCACGTCTTGTATAAATTATAAACATTGTCTTATAATATTTTAATATAGTTATGCAGTTCACTTTTCACAGTTTCAGTGGTTTTACGGACGTGTACGATTTACTGTTATCATTGATAAATAAAATATTTTATCGATGTTCTAATCCAGTAGTCGGCACCTGACTGTTGTTGTTTACATCGGTAAAATAAAATTAAGAACGTTATTTTTGGTAACACGACTGAGAACGCTGGAGTTTTTTTTTCCAACGTTGCCAAATGTAAACGATCGATAATATGAGCACAATAATCTGTTAATATTTATCGGACTTTTATTCGGATTAGCTGAATTTGAATAGTAACTTAGATACCAGTTACCAGAAAATAACGGTTAGGCTTTGCAGTCGTCGCACAAACTATTCATCTATTCGTATTAGATATTTTTATAAGTTCTGCATATTTTACAATTTTTACATTTATTTTTATAATTATTTCATTTTTATACATATATACACTATACAGGTATTAGATATTTTTATAAGTAATACATATTTTTAATTTTTTATTCATATCATATATTACACATTATTAGGCGCTTATTTGTATACGATTACAATTATTAATTTATGACTCTTCTCAAGAATATTCATTGTATGTATGCTGAATTTTTCAAAAGCCTAATAAATGATATGGCAAACTATGGCAACGTGCACATAGATTCGTTCTCAATGGTATCGTTTTTTGGGTTTTTTTTTTTGGGTCAGCGGTAAGTTCTTTGTTAATTTTAAGTGTTCTCAATCGTTCGGCAGAAAGGTATAACGTTCTCAACCGTTCGATAGCCGTTTACACGATGCCAGTCGATTGCTTTCGTTGTGGCGATTTAGTGGAGGGGGGAGGTTTCGCGACAGCAAAACAAAAATATTTGTTTTGCTGGCAATGCCATCTGCTGGCACGCTAGTTCCCACTGGCTTTCTGCAGTTGCTGGCAGTTTATGTTTAGACGTTGCCAATCGCTGGCATTCAATTACTGGCGAATTTGACTGGTACGCCGACTGGTAACGTGTAAATCAGCCTTTAGATCCCGCGATAAATGACGATATATTTATAATACATTTTTCGCGCTTATCAAACATTAAATCCTTTTGCAAAACGCATATCATATTGGACGAACTAGAATTTATTTCCTCCGTCCTCCGTCCGACATCGCAATCCGTACAACAATTGTACGTACGTACGAAACGCGCCTACGATTTACACGGTGTGGACACGCATTTGCTGCGGATACATGTTTACGTAAGCGTATTATACAGAGGTACCTATACACCTACAACGGTAACTTTATGCCGTTTCTTTCCGGGGAGGGTTCGTGGGCGAACATGCATAAATATTTACGTACGCTCGAACACGTACCGCGAGCAATATTATACAAGTTAAAAATATTGATAATCGAAATTGTCGCTCGCGCGTACATGTGCGCGGAGAACGCGTGTGCCAAATATGGTGTGTACCGTGCGAGCGTTATATCGCGGGACGATATGAATATAATGTATGCACGCGCATGTTATTGGTACGAAGCCAACGAACGCTTTAAAATAAAAAACGGGAAAAAAACCCTTCCGCGGTATGGTTTTGACGCACGAACCACGGACGATGTTATACTGTACGGTGTCCTTTTATGAAATGCTGCACACGCCACCGACCCACTTTTACCTATGCTGCAACATTCCATCTGGATGCGTTCGATTGCTAACAGTTCCCGTAATACTCGTGATTTTTTTTCCCACCGTTTGAAACGTGATAATAATATTCGTTTATCACAAATAACGATTAAACCGTGAACACATAACCCATGTAGTGTAGATCAGGGGTCGACGACCTTTTTATTTACCCACGCAGAGCCATATATTTGTAGCTTTTCGTCGAGGGGCTCGTTAGAAGAATGAAAAAGTACACGTTAATTTCGAACATATTACGCTAATACATGTATAATGAATGGTACCAAAAATAATATACTCTTCTATGTATTGGTTTGTGTACTGATCAAATAATTTCAAATACAACGAAATATTCGATATTTATTACGGTTTGAGGTATAAAGTGAGAATATTAAATATTTATCGAAAGTTATGTATGCTGTAGAGCATTACTGCACTTTTCAATATGCGGTCGTATAAACTTATGTACGTTCAGGATACGGGGTGTTTGAACCTCCGAATGTCATCGCTCGTCGGCTACGCGAACTCAAGTCCGAAATCCCAACAATCCACGAAGTTGTACCCACTCTAACCGTGGGAACTCCGCGTTCCCGTACACGGCGGGTTACGGTGTTTCCGAGGGGATAACGAGGGAAAACATCGTTTACCGTACACACGCATGGACTCGCAATAAGTATCGTTTTGACAAACGCTATCCAACGAAAGAGTTATTAAACAGCGGTGCCAGCATTACTACGCACAATCGTGCACCTACGTGTGCCAAGCGCGAATATTAAAGTTACAGCATATTTATACACGGCTGTACCGATTACTACTAAGCTTCGTGTAATGGATTATAGAATTTGTACGACTAATCTCTACATCCGAACACGGTGTTACATCTATGAACCGATAGAAATATATTTAACCGTTTCTCTTGTACGCGCAGTGCGCACTACGTATCGTATATATATATATTGACGTTGTACGAGATGAGTACAAGCGCAATCAATTCGTCGGAGGCCCTCAACGAGTGGCTCGGGACAAAATGGCGCCCGGCAGCATGTATATATCCGTTGTTGTACGGCGCGCGGCGGCCGTTTTCTCTTTCTCCCCGCGCGTCGTCGTGAATCCGTGATCCGCAACCATAAAACCCTACGCCATCGTTTCGGTTTTTATTATACGTTCAGTTTTTCTCAGAACATTGTTATATATGTATATGTATATTTGTGCGTGCGTGTGTGTGAGTGCGCGGGTGAAGGATATATACACGTATTCGCCAGGAAATATAAAAGGGGGAAAATGTATATGTGTGTGTGTAAAAAAGGGCCCTATAAAAACAATCGCTAGGCGTATAAATATACAAGTACGAGCATATATTATAAACGCTTTACCGATGTGTACGTGTAGTTCGTAAACCGCCGATTGGTACTATTATTACGCGCGTTCGAAAAGTCGACGAGCACGCGAGTTTAAAAAGTGTACGTTTAATATACGTGTGTATTAAATGCGGGGCCCCAATCGACGCGTTTGTTCGTGTCAACGCGGTTCTGACGTAGCATAAAAATAGTGTATTTATTGCGTAGAAAATAAAAATAAACAAATACTACAAAACGATTACGCCAAAAATAAACCTATTACTGCGAACGTATGGTACGTGTGTAACCCGGCATCGTATATAATTACGTGATTATAACGCTGTTTAAATATAATATGTAGCGCACAATATAGAAATAATTCGAATACATTATAGGTGTGTTACAAAGCTAAATGTATAACAACGTGTATTCTATACATGTACGGTACATAACGCTAAAAGCTGTTAGACCGTTGTACACGCATTTTTTCTCTATTCAA